CGTATTCACAAAACGTCCCAGCAGTTTTAGCAATATGTATATATTCTTTTGAACTTCAACTACTTTTTCAGATTAAACAAATTTTTCTAGTGAAACTTCAATGCAATAGACCTCTTTACCTTGGGCGTAAATGTTTTCCCATTTCAGACCACGTGTCATTCCCTAGAGTATCATTTCTTTGTTTAACAGTTGTGCATGACAAGACACATGAATATGAATACAACTCAAACAAAGAATCCTATTCTCAAGAGAATGACATGTGGTCTGAAATGGAAAACATTACGCCCAAGGTAGAAAGGTAAAATTTGGATTGAGTAATGGATTTCAAAAAGTTAATTATGATATCTTAATATTCATTAATTTTGGTGCACAGGGACAGGGACAGTGCTAAGGCAGGTATTATTATATATGCATGATGGTCTTAAACAATAACAACGAGAAAACACTTCGACAAAACAAAATGTTTTAATGTTGATGTGATTGTTTAAGCTTTTTGGTTTTGTTTGTGCTTCTTCATGCAAATTGTCTCGGTTKGTGATTCTTTATATGTTTACTTTGTTATGGTAGTTAGTTTGCTCAGATCTGCACTCATTCAAGAAGAAAACCTTCAATTTTACAGAACCCTGAAACAACGTCTGGGCTGAATTAAGTCAGGACACAGCTAACTCACAGATCAAACAATGAAACAACCTCTGCGCTGATCTAAGTCAGGACACAGCTAACTCACAGATCAAACAATGAAACAACCTTGCGCTGATCAAAGTCAGGGCATGGCTAACTCACAGATCAAACCCTGAAACAACCTCTGGGCTGATCTACGTCATGGCATGGTTACCTCACAGATCGAAACCTGAAACAACCTCTGGGCTGAACTAATTCAGAGTATGGCTAACTCACAGATTGAACCCTTTGGGCTGATCTAAATTAAGGCAAAGCAAAAATGATACATGCTGAATACTGCATACTGAATAGCACATCGCAGATTTAGAATGAAGCTAAAATGTAAAAAAAAATTTTTTACTTCAATAAAATAGAATATCTTGGATGCATTACAAAAAACAAATGCTTAACCTAAAACTTGGCTTCCAAAAGACTATTGTTATTATCTGCCAAAATGACACGAGTTGCTATGCACTCTATACTATACACTTACTTTTCAATATGCAGTATTGAAAATTTTTTGAAATAAATGTATCTTAAGACAATGTAAAAAAAACACATATATCTACAAAGGCTAGCAATACAAACTAGTTAGTAAGACAATTAAGTATGGTAGCACATTGATGGAATAAAGGTAATGATTTATTATAGCATCAAGTCTTTCTTTGAACTAGATGCAAATAAAAACAATGAAAAAAACATATACAATGAAAGCTAGTAATACAAACTAGTAAGTTAAAAAATTAAGCATATAAAAATTACCATGTGAGGTGTGTGTATGAAATCAAACATTGTGGTAGTGGGTGTGAGAGGACTCAGAGATATTAGCAGTCTCTTCAACACTCAAATCCAAAAATATATAAAAATATCATTATTAGAACATTGCTGGAATAAATGATTTATTGAAGTGTTCAGTTCTGCATTAAGATAGTGTGTAGTTCTTATCATTCCTCAAACACAGCCCATGCATTCTTCCACAAGCTGCTAGTAATAGATGTGGCAAACGCGACAAGGATCGCTAGGTACTTGTCCCCCCTGTCTTCATGTGTCTCTCTGAATTCTCACAACTAACCAGAACATCTGGAATGTTAGAATCTTCATTAAACGTATTTGCTATATTACGAAAAAATGCCGGAGGATACAAAAAAACACCTAGAATTAATTTGAGAATATTTAGAAAGAAAATGAAGAAAAACTTGCAGAAAACCAGATTTGCTTTGATAAGGTTATGGACTGTTGCTTGTGAATAACGCATCATGATCAATTACTTGATTGATGAGAAATCCAAAACCTTTAAACGTTGTTCTAGTGCTTTTGTCGACATAACATCTCCTCCCAAACCGGCATTAGTAGAGCCACCTTTAAAGACAGCTGTATATATATATATATATATACATATATACTATCAAACAAATGGTCAACAGGACAATTAATGCAGATAAAGTAGAACACAACTCGGGAGTCCTAAGATATGTTGAAGTGAGTTTGAGAAATGGTCACTGAATGCTCCCTGGTAATATACTTAGTTCTGTATGATGAAGCTAAAACAAATAGCACATCAGTGCTAGATAATAGGGTCAGTCAGTGAAGCTCATAACAAATTACTCTTAATTGTCAACAAATTTTGTAATGTAGCAAGTTGCATAATTCCGTGTGGGTGTATTCATGTATTTTCAGGAAATTTCTTGATTCTAAACTTCAATTACGTGAATAACTCTTTGATAATGACTACCATTATCACTATTACCAGTAACTGTTACCATACATGTATCATATTGCTRAATCGAACCAGACAACAACAGATGCCATTACTCCAAAATGAAACACTAGGTTCACGAAAAACTGTTTGATTTTTAAAATTAATTTAGTTGACTATTTACGATTCTACGATACTATTTAAGATTCCTCAACTGCGCAACATTTTAGGTCAATAAGTCGAACAATTTAAAGCATGGGAGCACTAGGAAGACACATAAGAAAATGACCAATAAGAGGACATTCGCTATCAGACATGACATTGGTACGCAATCTTTGAGCATGGTACACCTCATGAAAAAATAATTTCAAGGAAAGATCATTCATATCAAAATACTTGTGTATGTATTATCATTATAAATTAATCAATAATAAATATTAAAGTATCGATCAATATAGGAGAATATGTATATATCTATATATAATATACAAGATATTTTGAAGGTGAAGTCAATGTGGATTATGATCTAGAGACTGCGAAAACATGACTGATTTCAAAATGTTTTGTTCTGATGCAAACAGACCATGCAATAGTAACATAAATAACCGATACAGTCTGATTCACATGGCTAGTTTTACGAAAATACAAAAGATAAAGTTATCATTGACACTGAGCATAATTCTAAGTATTTATATCAGCAACATAACTGGATAATGACAGACTGCGAAAAAGAATAAAACAACATTTGGAGAAACTTAGACTACCTCATAGCAACACCCACAACATCRTAGTACAACTACCCTAGCCTTCCAGTTCAATAAACGCACAAAACTATTCGTAAGAATTTTTATAATAAGAACATTTTTCGCAAGGGCATTCTGGTCTAGGGAATCGTTGTCTCAAAGATTCAGAAATGAACACTTCTTGAGTTCTTGCAAGCTATATTTGGTGAAAAATTGATGATGTTTCCCCGAGTAARTCAACAACAACAACAAAAAAAGCCATCATTGTGAGAGTACGGTACAGGGACAGAAACGAAGCCTGTACGATATACATTAAATTGTTTTTCAAATCAAAAAGATTAAACATTAGTAAGATGGGCTCAAAAAACACTGTAGGTTTTTTTAGTAAAATGTTTTTAAAAATGGGTTATTTTTGCTCGAGAAATTGTTAGTAGCCAAAGTGGTTTAAACATGGTTAAAACCATGGAGATAAAGAAAACACCACTGGCAAAATACAATGAGGGGAATTTAAAAAATCACAAATACAAGAATAATTCTAGAAAATCCCTGATTTGGAGTACAAATTCTGAGTTTTTAGAATTTTATGCTTTTAATTCTAAAAAATTCACAGAATATTCACTCATTTTAGGTGTAAAATAAAAAGATTTCTAATGTACAAAAATAAAATAAAAATATTATAGCTAAATCGACTGGAAAGAATAGAATTTCAAATCTACTTCAATGAATATCTTTCTATATAAGGTTTTGACGTCAAGATCTTAAAAAAAATAGAGAAAAAATTCCCAGAACAATTGACCAAATAGGCAAAGCTAATAGGTAAAAAAGTTAAAATATCTAAGTACGATTTTCTTCACTTAATTTTTTGGATATAAATGGAGTTGTAGAGTGAGTAGAGAAAATCTACAGCCGGTTTACATAATTATGGTAAGGTAGGACATGGTAGATTTAGAACGAAAATATAGTTTAAAATCATTTGAAGCGAGAAAAATATCGRTGGAAAGACGTTTGTTAGGGGTCGAATAATAAAGCAGCGACAAAGACTGAAATGAGGAATTCCAATATGTCAACCTCTCACATAGAAACCAACCTAAACAAAAAATTAAAATAGCCAAACCATGTATTCTCTGAGACACAAGAACTACTTTTCTGTCGGGAAAATAGTAAATCTAACGCTGAGAATAAGTCTAGGGGACATTTTTAAGCAGTYGGGTAAAGATTTCTGTGAAATCAGAATACAAGCGATCGTTGATTTTAGATTTCTCTTTATCGTGTAGGGTTCGTTTRGTAGAGTTGATCACTCAAAGAGGTTCGGCCATGCAAGCGGCAGGAGCTACGATCGAGCTCATTTGAAGCATTTCGGGTTCATTTTCGACCAAAATCGACAAAAAAACTTATGTGTAAGCGTGTAATGATAAAAATAAGGATTTAGAAAGGCTGTAGACGTGGTCAGAGCGACGAAAATAAAAACGACAGTCCAGCTATTTTAGAATATGGCTTCTGCTATAACTGAAAGCGTGACAATGAAAGACATTGACTGGGCTTTCCGAAGCCGGTAAAGATCACTTCGGCTCCCAGAAAACTTACTACAGCTAGAAAGAACAACACTTGAACATTGGCATCGAAAACACGAGCATGAGTGCGATTTTTCCGTGAATAATCTTTCTTCTCCAGCCATTTTGTCGGCTTAGGTAATTTGTAAACACTCCGCTAGCTTCTTCTGCTATGTTCAAGTGAAGACTATAGTTCTCAAACACGACTGTGAACGAGTTTTCGATYGAAGATCGAACGAAAACCCGCAGACGGTTAGAGGAACTGATCATAGAGCGAAATAATGACGAAAAGGGCCGAACTAGCCCTCTTGCAAAAAGCTGAATATGTAACAATGAGATATTTCAACTTACTATTGGGCACAGTCTATAAGTTGGTACTCATTGGATCTCTCGAAGCACTCTTGTACTCCCTGGTCTTGCCATAAAATTTTTGTATGATCGTAAAATTCCTACAAGTTACAAAGCGACGAAAAGTCAGCTAGAATCCGGGCTTGTGAAAGCAGAACAAGACGACGACACCATACTTTGTTTGTTCTATACACCGAGTTGGCTTGCCCTCTTGCACTGTTCTTTCGCTCCCTCTAAACTAACACACACACGACACAAAGCCAAAAGCAGAGCCTTTCGCTGCCATCGAATCGCCTAAAGACGATTCGACAGTGATTTGTGGTGTCTGTGTCGATCACAAATACATTTAAACGAGAACAACACACGAAAAACTAGAGATGACTTAACCTTACCTGTGGATAGTCGAAATCAGGAGCTGTGGCCACTTCATGTATGTAATCGTAACGAAACTGGTTATTAGGATTGGCAAGCTTTACCGGTGGAGTTAGCGTACTCATGGCTCCTGTTATGGTCTAAGGGATTTGAAGGGAAATATTTATGGTATATCGAAGCGAAATTCATCGAATGTTGGAAGGTAGTGAATACGAATTGCAGCCGAAATGTGGGTGGGAGACTTAGTAAATAGGCTAGCCTTACCAATATTGCATCTCTAATATTCTTCTTTATATCTTCTATTTTTTGCCTTTTTTCCCTGCGAGAAAGGAAGGAAAATCAAGTATTAACACTAGGCCTTCTTGGTTAGGGATTTTCCTTCGATCAAGGCAGCCTTTCGCCGCTCTGTCGCTCAGAAGTATCGAATAGTCATATTTGGCCAGACTCACTGTTCTGTAAAACCATGAGCGTCGTGAAGAATCCTCATCTGTTTGACGATGGTGCTTTTTCCTGACTCACCAGCCCCTTGGAGATGAGAAATATAAGGCATTACTCTCTCGATCAGGACAATAATTGACGAACGAAAAACCACACAAACACGTCCTCAATCGTGCGAAATATTACCGAGTAGAAGTAGTCGGTGCGTCGCTCTGTATGCAATTTTATCCTCTCGCAACTGCCTTTCAATTTTTTTGTTGGCGTTGCGTTGTTTCTTTTCGTCGTCTGTAATACCACCATTTCTAAAACACCCCATTCCACACAAGAGTGACTCAGGAACGAGGGAAGACACCCCCGTTGTCCTATGAAATAAAAAGCTTCTTTTTTTCCGAAGACGAGGCAGCAAGATTCTGAAGTAAAAACAGCCGTTTCAGTGGAGAACTGGTCAAGTTTGACACACCCGGGGCTCTCACCACCGAGGCATCACGGGATACATCACCGGGATTACACTCAGGAGACTGGGAACCACTCTGACAAAGAGATTGGCACGAGTGCTAAAACTCCTTACTTCCAGCGCGCTTTTGGGCCTTAAAGATTCTCATATTGCTAACCATTCTTAATTTATTTGGTTCATTAGGGTTTGTTGATTTTGGTAGATTGGGAATATCAGGTGGGTGGGACTGTTGTTTTATGGAATGGGCTTTGAAGTTTGGAGTTATTTTGGAGCGCAGGTTTGAGGAAGTGTTAACAACGGGAAGTAGTTATTAGAATTTAATATTGATTCAAGGCCCTGACTTGGATTTAAATCTATCTTATTTAATCGAGGCTTGGTGTGTTGTTCAGGTGGTCGTTTGAATCGAATACGAGAAWTCAGTGGATTATATTATGCAAATTATAAACCCGTGGCGCGTAGCGCGCGCAGGCAAAAGTCAGTTTTTTTTGGAGGAGGGGAGTTATGCAAAGCGCACTGCAAATTACATGAGGTTATTTTGTATCGCATTAAGTTGTGCATGGATGATTGGATGGGGAGGGGGGAGGGGTAGGAGGAGTAGAATGGGGCACAACACCTTACACCCTCACCTAACCGCATCACTGATACAAGCGGTCGTAGGTAGAAAATAAGCAAATACTTTTCACTTATATGTTTAGACAATGTTATACGTTATAACCGAGGTCATTATGAAGTTAATGTTGGCTATATATTTGATATAATAACATTGCGCAGTGCATTTTTAACATTTATATGGGTACATAGGCAAAAACACCACACTCGGAAAAGATCAACGATTGTTTAGTATGAATCACCTGAATGAATCTCATTTCCAGCCTACAATGACAGGCAAATACTGCCCGTCATGTGCTATCGACCAGAGAGTATTCTATTGCTTGTTCTATTGCTTGTTCTATTGCTTGGTATCAATCAGCTGAATGAATCTTATGAACCTGTTTGCCAGCCTACAATGACAAGCAAACACTTCCCAATCATCAATTCCAAATTGCCCGCGNAGCGAGATGCGCTCAAGGCAAATTGCACGAGGCTTCGTATAGTACTCACAATCACCTCATGTGGGCAGCTATGTTGGATGGTAGGAACAATACAATCTACATGAGAAAGAATTAAAAAATAAATTCTCTTGTTTTGCCATTGGCACATCAATTAAAATGGATTATTTATATATTGGRCGCATCTTTTGATCCAATAGAGGGAGGTTGTAATCGATGGCAGCCACCCAGGCCACTATTGCACTCTGCCTTACGTCATTCAAATCTCTTGTATACAAACATAACACTTGTCTCAGTGTTTTTAGTAGAATGGAAAACGGAGAATGGAATGGGGGAGGGGCAGGAAATGGAGGGAGGTGGATACACGGGCACACAATAAAACTATCTAAGATCCACCGTTGCATGATATACTTTACAGTCATCAAACTAAGTTTCTGGAGGTTTCTTTTGGCAAACCTGAAGCCATTGTTAATATTCATTATGCTATTGCGATGCTCGAATGCATTCCACAAAGCAATACTATGCCTACATAGGTTAACTCGGGGGGGGATAGCGTAATTGTACACCCCCTCCATAAAAAATAGTTATAAAACCGACGTCACAGCTCCTCCCGTCATAAACATGGTGCACTCTAGATGCGCATATACTTATACCTCTGTCGAACGAGAAGTCTTATCACTAGTGATTGTTGTACTCCTCGTAAGAGTGAGAGGGGAGGGGTTTTTCAGATGCTACAGGAATCTGGTATTTTAGTTTTACATTAAATCATCAGTATAAATAATCATAATTTTAAACTCTATACAGTCATAGGCGGAATGATACCCATTCTTTAAAGCCTGTCCCAAACTCTTCAATATAGTAATATATATAGCAATATAAAATGATATACTGAATGGTAAGTAGTGGACAGGTACGCAGCGCGCAGAATCCTATGGCTTCGGTTTCCGATATTCTGCGAACTCAGGCCCGGTTCATACCTCGAACTTTTCATGGGCCGAACCAAATGTTAAGAATTAAGATCATGAAAAGTACGAAGTCTGAACCAATTAAGTTCAACCATAACATTGAGATCGAACCAATCGTTAAGATCGACTGAAGCGGTCGGGAATTACGACTTCGGAGCTACTCTGATTCAAACGACGAACTTTTCATGAACCGAACCTAATGCATATGTTATACTGTATTTAATCGCGAAATGCTTGACTTGCAAAAATCTAATTGGATCGACTGAATTTGGAACGACGTCTGAATCAAAAGTAGATATTTGACGATCTTTGGTCGATATTCAACGTGTTAGGTTCGGTTCATGAAAAGTTCGACGTATGAACCGGGCCTCAGACTTCCAGCGGATTGTTGTGAAATGGGTTTGTATTGCCGCCAGTCAAGAACATAAAAGGTACCGACTGATTATTTTTGATTGACGGCAGCGAAATTCCAAATTTCAGCGTGCAGCTCGGCAATATTCTTTTGTGCACACTACACATTTCTTGCCACATGCTCTCCTTTCTACACCAAGAATGACAGCCAGTTCTACTAGGCAATTAGTCCTCGAGCCCGAATGACTGTGAGTCAATAGCCAATGAGGCTGAAGGCCGACTAGACTTTTTTTGGATTGCACGTTACGTCATCGCGGCCATGTTTGTGCCATTTAACAAAAGATTTTTCATTAGCATCCATTRTTAACGACTCCAAGATGGCCGCCATGTTTTTGTTTTAAGCATCTCTTGTGAATGTCGCAACCCATCAATTGACTCATAGGCCATGAGGCCGTGAGGAAAAATTGTTTTAGTCAAATCCAACTAGTCGGTCAAATACATAGATGCAAACAAGTTTGTATGGTTAATCTACAAGAATGTTATGACAGGGGGTTGCTAGGACTTCAGTGCCGGSTCTAGGAATTTTAWAAGGGGGGTGACTATACAAAAGTTTGATTACCAGGAATGCAAGGGAAGGGGGATGGCTTACTAAGGAAAATACTTAGAAATTCAGCAAAAAGGGTGTGGGATGTGACTAGTCACTCACCTCACCTCCCCTGGATCTGCACCTGGATTTAGCATTGGGCGGGGAGATCAGCTTCCCAATAATCTTAAAGTATCCATCCCTCATTTCTCCTAATCTTTAAACAAATACAGTTTCTTTTATACCTAACGGAGAGATAATCACAGGCATTCTACGATCTGCACGTGACTATTTCCCTCAAAATAAATACCTCTTTCATGATGTTACTCTGTATATCAGTATGGGGCAAGTTGTRCGGTATCAGCTTTACATGACCACGACCTACCCTATGGGAGAAGAAATAGAGTACAATCTTGAACTAAAGGTGCCCAATGTCACTGTTTCTATGAATCAGAGTTTTACTAATGATCTTTAAGAAGTAACATTCAACACTTAATTGTAGGATACCATGGAATGACCCATGGCTATTGTTACYTTCAGCATCTTCGAATAACAAGCACAAAAGTATATGGCTATAGCTAGTAACCACTACGSATGTGCACTCTCGTTCAGATTCCCTCTTATCTTTCTTCATATTTTCTAAATCTGTCAAAAAAAGTTAAAGTAGACAAAACCAATGCCTCCTTGAAGTCTACGCTCAGCGCATTCTTTGCGCAACATCTCATCGACTCTGTCTGGACCCCCTTTGACCTCATGTTCCATTCATTCAGCATTTGGACCCCTTTG